TTTGCAGGTGAGTTGCCGCAGTTGAGCTGTCGCATTTGAGTAAGTGTGTGTATAGATAAAGTAGGATATGTAAGACAAGATAGTTTAAGTTAAGCTCCATGTGGAAACCATATTGAAACTCGACCAACCTAATGCTGCGACTCTGCACTTCTCTGTGGCGCGTTGTTCTGGCTGCAGCAATCAGAAGACAGCCATAAAAAGACATGAAAATAAATTGCGCTGATAAAAAGCAATTGAAATGTCAATATGCAATAAAAGAAAATAAAAAACCAAGCCGGAGCAGAGAGTGTCGGCAGGGGGTTTGGGGTGGCCAAGGCAGAAGGCAAAAGCCAACATAAAATTTATTTAAGTGAAAAATGCACGCACATAAAAATTGGAATTTGAAATAACCGAAACAAAACGAAACGAAGCGAAACAAAGTGAATCGAAGCGACAAACAAAGTTTCCTAACTGACGGTCAATTGCAGTTGACCCCACCGACTATGCCGAACCCCCCAAAACTCGACCAGCGCCCCCCGCTCTAAAATATTTCACTGATAACCGAACGACAAATGCATTTGCAGTTGTCGCTGGCAATGACAAAAGTCCAATTACCGTTTATGCCGTTATCGTTGATATATTTTGTATAGCTTCCAATATGCTAATGGAAAATGTAGGGAAATCTGTAAAGTTAAACTTAAAGAGTACCTAGGCAGTTACCTATTACAGTCCTCAGATCCCCTTATCGCCATCGATATTTGCCTATCCTTATCCATTCATCAACACATCCGATAAGTATAATGTACTAAATCTCTTGCTATATGAATTATCGATAATTATACATTTGATAAATTTGGCTACATATGTATCTGTGTTGAGCTAACAGATAATTCTTATATGTACGGCTTACTGAATTTCGTATTAAATGATCGATAAAAGTTAATCGATTAATTTACTTATTGTGCATAATTGATATGTAGAGATTGACTGCTTTGCTGTAATGGACACCCATCTTGCTATATGTATGAGCATTTAATGAATTAGCGATAATTTTCCGATTAATGGATTTATTGAAATATGTATCTCTACTTTGCTAAACGATAGTTCCTAAATGCGAATACTGTGCACGACTTACTGAATTAACTTTCTTAATGCATTTGTGATCATAAATAATCATTTTTATTTTCGATAATTCATTTATTTTCGCATTTGCTATGTGGAAAGTATAATCGATCTAGAGTAATCGATTATTTTGCACTTGACAAATTTATCTAATTATTGATCTGTACTTCGCTACAGTATACGAGTATCTAGATTGATGAATCTTTTTAAATTAATTTGATATGTAGAACGACTTTCTTACGTGGAATCGAATTAGACTAATTTGCATTTATCATCGAAACTATTATAGACCCTGCATTATGAAAGTATTTCCATGAAATGGCTTAAATAGTTTTCATAATGCGAAATGCTGTTGTTAGCGCTTCGACAACTTCTCTCTGTCCCTGTTGCTGTAGTCGTTGTCGTTGTCGTTGTCGTTGTCAATTCTTGTTGTTCATGTTGTCACTCTGCCCACAATCGGTGGCAGCCCCAGTTTGGAGGCCCTCTCCAGAACCATGTCCCCCATCTCGCTTATTCCCTTACTGCTCGACGGCCGCTGCCTGCCTCAACTGCGAATGCCGCGCGCGCCACTGAACGACATTAAACCTGACTTTGCCATAGTGCCTCTCGCTCGCACTCAGAAACGGAGCAAAGCGAAACCTATCCGAACAAGGCGAACCGGGCAAAGGAAAATACAACAAATTATTATGATTTTTATGTGCATGGGCTCTATGCAGTTATGAGCAAGAGAGAGAAAGAGAGCGAGAGATATAGATGGAGAGCGCCTTCTGAGCGAGCGCCCATGGATAACACAACACAACAAACACACTGACAACGCGACGCCAGCAGCGCAGCAGCAGCGAAGCTGACTGCATTGTCGGTCGCTCGTTCAGTAGATTTGTGTGTCTTCGCATAAATTTAGCAGCTTGTATGACACGGCGGCGTAGACAAGTTTTCTGCTTCTTTTCTAGCAGGCTGGGCTAGTGTGTATGTATGTATGTGTGTGTGTTTGTTGGCAGCGACTGCGACTGCGACTGCGACTGAGACTGCGACTGTGTCTGTGTCTGCTACTTTGTTTTTTGCTATTTGCCGTCAGCGAACTACCCCAACAAATGGTAGCCGTGACGCCCAACACGCCCTACCAAGCACATGCAGTCACCCACTCATACTCACACTAACACTCAGACACCCACATACACACAGGCACTCGCAGTTGCATTCACACCCAAATTGCTCCAGTGTACTACTGAACGTTTGGCAGTCGGCCAAGGCAGTGGATTCACACACACATATGCACAACCATGCTCATCCAGAGAGAGAAAGAGAGAAAGAGAGAGATAACGCCAGAAAGAGAGAGGGAGCGGCGAGTGAGTGAGAGAGAACGCGATGTGTCCCCCTCTCCACACCGCAATTCATACTCAGCTGTCATTGTTGATATTTTGTGTTTTCATCTTGAACTTTTGTGGTTCAATGTGTCTAGCCAACCCCCAAAATGAAATACTGCCAAACGCCGAATTCACCACAGACGGCAGAGCATTTCCCCAAGCTGCAGCTCCCTCGCTCGCTAGCAGTCGCGCGCTCTCTGCCTCTGATGCCCTTGCCGTTTGCCGGCTTTTTTCTATGCGTATGCGTAGACGCTTTCGCTCTTTGCGCTGTCGCTCTCCCTCTCTCTTCGTCTCTCTCGCTCTCTTGGTGTCGTTGTTGCTGCTGCTTGCAGCGCTCTATTGCATTCTACACTTGAACTTGCCCAGCGTTAACTCAACACACACACGCATACACACATAAGCATACATATATGCTGACAGACTGTGTCTGACTGTCTACAATTATCTGCTGCTCCCCTTTGCTCCCTCCCCAATCCGACCCTTCTATCGGTATCTCTGTATCTCTGTTTGTTTGCCTCTGCGCTTACTTTTTAACCACATTGTATTTGAAATGTGCAATTTCATATGTCGGCGTCGACGTCGCTGTCGCCGTTGCGTTCGTAGACTGCTTTAGTTGAGTTTTTTTCCCATTGTTGTTGTTATTATTTTTGTTGTTCAGTGTTTGCGCTGTAGATCTTTGCCTTTCATCAATTACGTCTCAGCACGTCGTCGCTTTACACACGTACTTCTAGATACAGATACTCGCATTCGAATTTGTTTTCATGTTTATTTTCTCGTATTTGTATTCGAATTCGAATTGGTTCTGCGATTTACTTCAAGGCAAAGCTTGTACTTGATTTCGTAGATTTGGATTTGACCGATATCAAGTATATTTAATTTAACATTTACATTTCCCGACAGTTCATATTGCTGTACTAGTTTATTACAAATTGATTTGATAAGCTTCGACATGCGTTTTTCCATTCATTTTCAAAATATTGTTATATATACTTATTTGTAGGCCTTGGTATTTTTTAATTCAAACAAATTGGATTTCTGAATGATTTTGGGACTTTTATGCCTCGAAAAATATGTGCATTTAGATAAAACCAATGAGATAAGATACGTACATATTAAGGTAGCGCCTTACGTCAAACATACTGTAAAACCCAAAGAAAACGAGAATGAGAGACATAGAGCCAGAGAGAGGGAGAGAGAAAGAGGCGGCGAATACGACAAACTATTTGATTCTTAAATTAAATTTATTGAGAATATTCATTTAGATAACTTTCTGAATTATAAGAAAGGAAAACAAATTTCGAATTTTCTTTTTGCGCTTTGAGATAATATAATATATTTTATGATCTGTAGATTTGCAAATATCTTTTGACGTACGATTTTTCGTTTCATTATTTTTAACCTATTTACACTTACTAATAAATGTTTTAGCTTGAATAACGTTGTTATAAGAGTCCATTAAGTAGTTTTTCCGCTAGAGATTTATCGCTCATCAACTAAAGATTATCTCTGTATATCCAAACGCGTTTGCATAAAAGTTCTTCCAGTTTCTCTGTAACGAAAGAAAAAAATATAAAAAGCAAATTAACACTAAATTTTTCTAGCTCTCACTTGCTTGTTTACAAATTTCCATTTCCATTCATTTCCATGCATAGTATGTAAATAGTTATCTACACACACATACATAATCATATGCATACATATGTACATACAATATAATGTAAGTGCATTTGTACTAGAAAATTCCAACGTCTCCGCTGCAACGAACAACTTCCCAACTTCGGGTTTGCCCTTGTCTCTGGCGGCTGTCAGCGTCTGGCAATGTTCGTAATAATCGTTTTTGTGCCACTGTGCGAACACATTTCGAATGTACGTGTGAATTTGCACTTGTGCACCCGACGACGACGCCACCATACAGCAGCAGCAGCAGCGGCAGCAGCAGAGCCAACAGACACAGACACAAACACTCACAGACGAACATACACACACTCACACACAGGAAAATCCACGAAAATAAAAAGAAAACAGAAACTAAAAGGAGGCAAATATAAAGGAAAGCGATGATGGCACTCGCACGCACACAAACGCAGACACGCCTCATGGTTTTGAGTGTGGGTGTACACAGAACGGTGGGGGAAAGAGCGCTGCCTGTGTGAGTAGTGTGTGCGTGTGTGTGAGCGTCTATTTATGGCTGTGTGTGTACATGCCAGAGAGGCAATGCAAAGAGCAGCGTGCGATTGCATCGGTATTTTCATTCAAGCCACTCGCTACTGCGTGTGTTGGTGTGTGTGCAAGAGCGTAAAATATTTATGCGTGTGTGCACTGCGCTTCACATTTAACTTTAGCGCTGATTCCATTTTCGACTTCTAGTGAGCGCACGTTCGCTCTGGCTCTGGTGTGGGTTGCTGTCGACGTCGCGGCGTACGCTCTTACTCTCGCTCTCCCTCTCTCTCTTGCAGTGTCGGTGGTGGGTTTCGTGGTGAGTTTCCCGTACTTCATCATTTCCAATTTAACAGAGCAATAACATTTAGTATTTGTTTGGACTTTACATTTAGTATTTGTTTGGACTTTGTCGTTAACGGTTCGTTCTCCCGTTCGCTCGTTCGTTCGTTGTATTTTTTTGCGGTTTGCTTTTGAATAAAAAATAAATAAAATAAAAAAATAATTGTTTAAATAAAAAAATATTATTAATGAAGCATAACGGTTGAACCGAAACTCTTAAATATAACACGCGTTGAAAAAAAAGTAGTAAAACAAATTTATGCTGTACAAAACAAAACAAAATAAATACAAATTGTTAAACACAAGTGCAATTGAAAAAATATATATATTTAGATAAAACAAAGTGCAAATGCAGTGTAGCTGAAAAAAAGAAAAAGAAAACATTCTGACGTGCAACAGTTTTATATATTTATACATATATATATATATATATATTTATATATATGTATATGAATTGAAAATCTGCCTCTAACAGCCGCTGCATGCGGCATGCTTTAAAATAGCAACAAGCCAAAACAAAAAGAAAATAAAAATACAAAATAAAATAGAATAGAAAAAGGAAAATACAGAAAAATAACGACAACAACAACAATGAGACAAAATGTGTAAATAAAAACGCACATGAATCTAAACATTTTACAGTGAAAGCAAACACACCACCACAGCACACAAACGGAGAGAGGGACACACACACTCACACTCAGAGACGCACACACACACCTACAACAAGAACTATCAAACATCAACAACAGCCGCAGCGGCAGCGCCGCAACGTCGACTGCGCTACGTAATCAACCCAAAGAAGAGAAGGGGAGCCAAACGCAACAAAGAGGAAGAGCAACAGCGGCGTGTTAAACGGCGACTGCGACGGCGACGGCGACGTCAGACTTGCGTCTGCAGTTTGTCTGTCTGCATTGTCTGGCATGTCCTGGCGTCTACAGTGCGCACCCACTACGGCTGTACGACTGACTGACTGACTGAGTGAATGCCTGATCGATTGACTGATTGATTGATTGGTTGACTAACTGCCCGACTGAGTGTCGCAGTTGAAACAGTTGCCAAAAGTGCCCCAATGCAAATAAAAATACGAAATGAAATTAAGTGAAGTGAAATACGAGCGTAAAGTGTACAGTGCATAAAATCTATAAGAATTATAGTGCAAAGAGTGCGAAAGAAACACAACAACAGCAATTGCAAAAAAAAAAATAAAATAAAAGGAAAATATTAAATAAATAAATATCCAACTCTCTGTGCTTAATCTATACCTTTGTAAATGGATAACGATTTGTATGGATTAGTAGCCGATTACACGCGTTTCATAGATGCTAACGGTAAGTTGGAAGGAATCAAAGAACGATGAGTTTCTAACTGTTTGTGCGTGCGAGCTCGTTGCAAAGAAAATTGGAAGAGTGGAAAAGAAAAACTGAGAATATCGTATGGTGAAAAATACAAATTTAAGAAACTGAAAACGGAAAAATTCGAGTTTATTTTAATTTAATTTTGAGTTTATATTAAATGCAAAATGTTGTTTAATTGTTTACCAGATAGAAAGGAAAATACGGAAGCTCTTTAATATTAATAATAATATATATTCACCTATAAGGAATATAGAGATTTAGATATACATCTATAAAAATATATAGAGTGCTCAGGAATAGACTTACATAAACAGAAACTCCGAAATACATTACAAGTTATAGGGAATACACCGATATTATATCTATATCGGATGTGATTATGTTATAGGAATATACTTTAGATTCAGTATAACAAGTTATTGGGAATTCACAGAGATATGCGTAGATATACATAGATGTCTGCCTGGAATAGTTAAGTATTCATCCGTCTCCCCTCTCTTTGGCTGTCCCTCCCACCCATGAAGTGTGGATGGATGTATCTGAATGTGAATTAGGCTGTCATCTGCTCGACACTTGTTTATTTATTTTTTATGCGAATTTGATTATTTACATTTGACCTGTCAACCATTCAATCAGACACAGATTGAGATTGAGTTTGAGATACACGCGATGCGCTTGAGAAAACAAGCTACGCATTTCCTTTGCGTCCGGCCCAGAAAAGAACAGAAGAAGAAGAAAAAAAGAAAATTTGCTCAAAAACTTGGCCAAGTGAAAAATAAGAAGCAGCGTGAAGCCATTTCTATGCCAAGATACACACGCAGCACAGCACAGCACAGCACAGCACAGCGCAGATACATTTGTATCTGCAGATACTTTTGCTGTAGGCACGCAGAAGATACACATGTTTCTGGCCATAAATTGGTAATACATTAATTATTGTCATGACAACTGACAGACGGCCAATTAAAGCGCATTTGCTGAAATGTAAATTTATACACACGCACAAGCACACGCACACACACACGCACATACACATACACACACTTGAGATACATTTGGATATATGTATGTACAGAGAAGTGGATTTTTGAGCACTTGGCACATGTAATTGGCATCGAACAACCGAATTATACAAATAAATTGTGCTGCTTATTGACTTTTCAAGTGGCGAGCCCATACTTCTTCTTCTATTCATTCTGATTTCGTGTGTGTGTGTGTGTGTGTATGTGTGTTGCCTTGGCTAACTTTGCTGAGAGGCCCAAAGTGATTATCTACCAAGTGGATTGGAATTAGGCAAATTCGCCTGATTTGTAACGTGAGCCGATTTGAAATATTTAAAAACTTCGATTGTATTTTTATAGGAGAAATCCTGGAGCTCGCTGGGTTAAGGAAAAGTGGAATTTTATTCTGCTGAATGGTCAGTGAATATGGTCTTGATTTGATTTGAGCCAATTCAAATTTATTTGTAAAGTACTCCAACTGGGACAACTTCATTTTTAGCTGAGTCCAAGTGAGAATTTTAAGCGAAATACTCTTGAACAACTTTTGCGTGAGTTGAATCGAGATTTGTCAGTTATACGGTTTACAATCCCTAGAAATTGACATAATATTGTTAAGTCAACACATAAACAAACTAACGAAAGGAAAACAAAAAGAAATGAGATTGGCGATTTAGTTACGAGTTTTATAACTCTCGGAGTTCTTACACTCATACTCATTCCCATCAAATTCTCAGTCTCCAAAAAGCGGATTCTTAGCTTTTATATAGACTAAGACTAAAGTTAATAAAGTTAATAAATCTATAGTCATATCAAAAATAACCCTTTGAATCGGAATGAATATAATTTTTTTGTAAAACAATTATATTTTATACTAAAGAGAGAGAGAGAGACAAGAAAACAAAGGGGCAGCTAAAACAGCCTGAGAAAAATGAATTGAAAACTTTTCACTACTATCTAAGAACCCTTCGCTCTATCTATCTGCTATATGCAAATTGATATGCTTGTCACAGCCAGCAAAAGTTAATACTCTCATTATTATATAAGCAACAAATTTTGAAATCAACTTTTGCTGATTGGTGTTAGCTCTTGACTCTGATTCGTGGTAATATATATAGATTATACACAGCAATTAATATCTATATATACCCACATATATATGGTTATATTTAACTGGTTGTTGCGGCTGCTTCTTCAGTCCATCCGCAATGGCAATGTAATATGATTCAACCTGGAAAGCACGCGTATCAAACGTCACAAGCAACAACAACAACAACAACAATAACAAGAACAACAACTACAGACATGAAAGGCATTAGGCGACCTATCAATAATACCACAAGCTCTGCAGGACACCACAGCCAAATGAAGTAAATGCTGATGATGATGTTCGTGATGACGATGGCAATGACCATGATGATGCTGATAATGATGATGATGAACGCGATTCCGCACTAATTGTTTTGGGCGGCTTTGCGCGTGTCGCTACTTTTTGTTGTTGTTGTTATTATTGTTGTTGTTGTTGTTTTGCCAACAATGTTTTGCGTCTCTTCGTAGTGGCCTCTATTTCGATGTCAAATACACTTGAAGAAAAGTATACAACTAATTGCATTACGGCCTTCAAATAGAGTAAATAAATGTGGAATTTAGGGGGCAGCCTTTTTAAATTAATCCCTGCATTTCAGATCTGGCAAAAATATGATCATAAGCTCATTTATTTTATGTGAACGAGCTATCAGATACTTCGATTTCATGCCTAAATAAAGGGAGGGAATCGGAACTCTGAAGTAAAGCTCGTGAACTGAGTATTTATTATTTATTTTATTATTAACTTTGTTTATCCTTTCGGCAGGTGCAGCTTTTTATTTAGTTAAAGTGTCGTTTTTTTTTCCATTTGCAACAGAAAAATTGGGAGGAATGTGTCCGCCTGGTTTAGCATTGCCTAATTCCAGGCGCCTAACGAGCCAGAAAGCCACATTAACCAACTCGCATTAGTTGGGACTGGGCGCAATTAATTTGCCTGTCGCAGCTAGAAGAGGCGCCCCCCTCTGAGCTCACCTTCCCGCTGAAAAAAGATCCACTTTCAGGGTCTGCTGGCAACCTGTCTCTCTTTTCTATTTTCTATTTTCTATTTTCTTCTGCCTTTGCAGCTATAAAAAAAGTTACTTTGCCTCGTTGCTGTTTGTTTTATGGTACATTAAAGTTGGCTAAATGGCAAATTTTAATGCCATTTTATGCAAATACATACATATACATATACATATATATATATGGATATATACATACTATACATATGAACGCACGCTCATGTATCTATATGTATATCAATTTAAATATGTGATTCGCTCTAGGCGCACATTCCAAAGTGTTTCATGTTTCGTGCTTCGCTCTGAGCTCTTCACATGCATTGTCAAGCTTCTGGTTTTAATGGGCCCGCCTTCCGATTGTGCTGCACACACATACGCACTTCTGTGCCTCTATCAACTCATCTATGAGTTGTTTGTCTACGATTATCATAAGTATTTGCCGAGTGCTCATGTGTGTGTGTGTGTGTGTGTGCCTAATGTGTAGGCTTGCTCAACGGACCGATCCCTTGGGCAGTTAGTGTGTTTATGTTCTTGCGCATTTCCATGCCCAAAAGCGACTTGCTATAAGTGCTACGGTAACTGCCTGTTGGCCGGGCAGTCAAATATTGTTATAAACTGTATAGCAAGATTCATTGACAGTTTTAGCGCCAGATGTTGGTTATTTCAACTTACTATACAATTTATAGCAAGATTCATTGACAACTTTGGCAGATAATTCTTTGATGTGACATGCTATATAATTTATAGCAAGATTCATTAGCAGTATGTATTATTTCATAGTTGCTATACAAAGTATAGCAAGATTCATCGAAAGTTTCAGCACATAAAATACAATTGATGACAAACTTGAGCTATATAAAAGTCGCTATAAACATTATAGCACATAAACTCAATGACTTTCGATTAGCACTGTTACTATAAGTTTAATGTAAATAAAGCTGCGATTGATGACAAAGTTGAGGTATATAATGTCGCTATAAAAATTATAGCAAATCAAAGTTATCTAAATCTCAATTGCAATGCTTTCGAATATCATATGGATATGGCTGTTACTATAAATTTACCATAAACTTACTATAAAATTACAATAAAGCTCAAAGTACAAATCCAAATTAGAAATAATATTGCATCAGATCTCCTTATTGTTACTATACAATTACTATAAAACTACTACAATTGTTTATGTATGTATTTTCTAAAAATGCAAATTACATTTTTAAATTCAGTTGTTGCTATAAACTTACTATAAAACAGCTTGCTATTTACGATGATGCAGATATAAATACGTATAAACGTAAGCTCTGAAATTATATAACAATTGCAGGACATACAATGAAGGAAGTCTATATAGTATTACATGCATATTGCACTCATTCCTAGCAGACCTTGAACCGCTTCACGAAAAAGAAAAAAAAAACAACAAAATTTCTTGCCGGCGCCGCTTGGCAATTGACCTGCATTGTGTGGAGCGTAAACAATGCGACACCTGATGCAGGTTCATGCCCGGAGTTCAATCAATAAGTCAATTTCTAGTTGTCGCAGCATCAATACTGACTGACTGACTGACTGAGTGAGTGACTCTGGCTATGACTGGGTCATGAGTCATGCACAGGCTCAGCCAGATTTCATCTGCGAACCACCCTTAAAAAGGCAAACAGAGGAATAAATTTCAACAATTGCGAGGCGCATCAAACAGGTTCCCTTCATTATCTGCATTGTGCGTCTTATCTTGTCCGATGCTCGCTCCTGATATTTCCTGTGACTGCCTCTCTCTCTCCCTCTCTCTCTCGCTCTTTGGGTTCTCTCTGTCTGGACATATGCATTGTGTAGAGCTCGCAGCATTTGTGTCTGCAGCTCTTTTATCGAACTCTGGAAAAACCAGAGCAAC